TAGTGAGCGGTTATGTTTCAGATGTAGCGCTCCGTCAGTGTGGTTCATTGTGAGGACAGAGGTACCAAAGCATAATTACTCACAACCATAATAGACTATCCAAGAATGGCCCCTCTGGTAGGGCCTCCTCCAAAGTAATAAATCACTATAAAATAAAAAAAACAATAAAAAGATTATTCATGTCTGATCTTCTGTCCGTGAATTGCCATGGATTTATATTCATTATTTTATCTGACATGACAAATTGGATTGAATTAAAAGGTTTAGCGATCTGCAAATATCACAGTGTGGAGGTTGAACGTGTGACAATGTACAGTATCTATTCTCATAACACTGAGATTCAGTTTTTCTTGTAAAAAAAGATTCATTAATTGACAACAGTCAAAGTGATTAATCATATATGTCATTTACCAAACAGAAATAGATTTATAGATTCGTTTGGTCAAAAATACCAAACATTCACTGGTCTGAGCGTCTTAAAATGAAGACTATGTTTATTTTTGTATAGTGAAAATATTTGGGATTTATACTGTTGGTAACACAAAACAAGTTATTTTAAGATATCCACTGATAGCCAAAATAACTGACTGAGAAGAATAATCAGCAAATGAATTTATAATAAAAATAACTGTTACAGTCCCAATAAATGCTGCATGTATTGGAATAAACCAAAGCCTCAGCCTGCACCACTTTATTTTTGCTTTGCTTCTAGGAGTGTATCAGAATGATCTGAGGTCTACAGGCTGTGCCAGTGTTGATACTCTGCCAGGAACACATAAGGTCACCATCACTACAAAGGACTATATAACCTTAGGGGAATGGCAGCAGAGCTCGCGATCAATTGGGGTGGGGTTTCACTTTGTTCCAGCCAAATTAAATCAACTCCATTTCAGTTCAATTAGTTCAGACAAACAGTCCGACTGAGGCTCTCTAACATCGGCCACCACACAAACAATCTGAGGGCAAAGGCTGGATGGACAAACTTTAAACTTTTAAACATGTCCAAAACTGTCAGGACAGAATCTAGCACTAAACTGCAATGTCTGCACTCGGAATATACTGCACATAAGCCAAAATCTGATAAAGGAAAATTTTTTTATCAATATTCAAGGACACTAGAACATCTTGTACATCACATACATCACATACATGCATATACAGACTGGTACACCTATGAAACCAGTGATTTACTTCATTAAAGTGAAAAACTGTGGACAAAGTGGAGTGTGAAGCACAGTGAACCTGGGTTCATTTGTGCAGAAATCACTTCAGGAGACTGGTTCCTATCCAACCCACACAAGTTGTCTCGGAGGTTTGGCACAAATGTAAATAAAGGGGTCAAACTGTTCTTTTATTAGTGAGTGTTTAGACCAAAATTAGTACTGCTTTAAAATGCAAAAGGCTTTGTTGGTGTGGGTGTGGTGTTACAGGTACATGTGAAAAGATTCAGAAAGTCTTATGCTTATGTGGACAGACTGTACAACTTTGGAAAATTAGAACGAACATCAATCGTTTTAGCTGCAACTAGTAGAAATATGATGTTCACATCATAAAGTAATATATGAGGAATGTGAGCTTGCATTTCATTGGCCAGTGCAGTCCACTGCACGAAGACAATGCACTGTTTAAAACTGTGTAAAACATCTCATCCCATATTTCAGAATGTGTGAGACAGCATCCAACAATTCTGGCAACTTCCAAAGTCCAGCATTTTTCAGGTGTGTGGAAGAGAGAAAGTGTGTGCCCTTAACTTCATATGTGCATATGTGAAACTCCAAAGAGCTACACACACACACACAGACACACACACACACACACACACACACACATGCCTTTAGACATGGTCAGATGCCACATGGCATGAAGAGTATTTAGTAGAACATTGAAACCCTCACTCTCCCCCTTGAGCCTCACTCAAGCACTCCTTTAGTAAATTCAAAGTTAGGATTATGACATTTCTGAACACTAGCTGAAACCTACAATGACTTGACAAACCACACAAAAACTGCTATCACCAACGTGTACACATTGTTTTTGACAGTCAGGAAGGAGCTGAAACCTTACAACAAAGTAATTGCTGAACATACACTAGATAACAGACTGAACAACTTGTCAGTAATGACTGTTGCTCTGGCAATACATGACCCGGAAATCTTGAAAGAATGCCAACTGTCTCCTGTTCTTGTTCCAAAACAAACATGAAGGCCCACTGGCAGTTTGCTTAAATAAAATAAAAACCCTGCTGAAAATATTTTTAAAAAGCACAGAGTTTGGGTGAGATCCTAGATTGAGAGGTATGGACAACAACAACCGTATAACCTACAAGGGGAAATTTTAGATGAATCAGCTTTCTAAAACAAAGCTAACTTCAGATTAAGTGAAGCTGGTTAATTAATTACCATATGTCACCACACTTTAAAAAAATCTTTATAGCAGCAATTGAGTCTGAAGATTTAAGACTAGACTCTGCTCATATCACACACTTTGTATGGTTTTATCTGCCAGCTGTCAACACCAACTGACACAGAGTGGAACAGACCCAGCACAAATGATCCGTCATGTCCAAATCATATTCAGAATCGGCTAAACTGTCAAAATGTGTGTACACACCTTTAATTAATTTCCCCTTCTCTGTCTCTGTATACCCCATATTCCTTGTTTTTACCCTCTTCCTTCCCTTTTCTGTCTCTGCATGTCCGTTCTGTTTTGCTTACTGCTTCCAGATGACAAAGCCACCAGACTGGATTATACGCAGACCTGGGAGAGGGTAGCGCTCAGGTTGTATGAAGCCCTTAGCTGTAATATCTGTTTGAATCAGAGTGACAGGTGGCCTGGAGCTACTCACATAGATCTCTGGCCTTCTTTCTCTCTTCTACTTCTCATCTGAACACAAGCACAGCCATATGCTGTTCTCTTACCTTCTACTAGAGGGCTATTTCATTAAAATTCTTTTTTCCCTCACTTCCACTTTTGTTTCAGTCTCCCCACTGCTTCAGGCTTAGCATTTTGGCTATGTTGCAGATATGAAAAGGATCGACATTACAAGCTTCTCAACAGATGGCTGTAAGGACTTATGTTAGATGATGTCCCCTTCAGAATGAAACGCTACTCAGCCAAGAGCGCCACAGTCACTGTCCAGCAGCTTCAAGTAGTGACCATGGTTGTTGGAGGCAGGTCAAAGCAACAATTTAAGGAGGTACTTCATGTTTGTGTATGATAGCTCCTGGCAACTGCACTTGACTGTTCAGTCTGTTGAGTCACCACAGGGACTTGAGCTCCACTTCTGTCAACTGTCAGGCAGATGTCCAGGATCAGGATGAGCGGAAATACTCATTCCACAAAGGAGGATTTTCCCCAAGTACATACACATACACATTCACATGCATACCTACTGTACATACATTTATTACTTGACATGCTAGTGGCGAAGGATAAAAGGGGGAGGGCAATTTAACGTGTTTATGAAAGTTAAATATTATCATGAAGTGAAAAAGGAGGAACAGTTCTGACCAGTCTAAGTGCCATGTTGACCTGATTGCCAAGGGAAATCAAAGAAACTCGACTGAAATTCAAACTATCTCCCTTTCTATTTCATGCTTTCTGAGATGTTCCCTCTTGCCCAACAATGCCTTGTCAAACAATACTGAGAGAGAATCTGTGACGTCTGTATTCATCCTTGCATAAGCTGTCATTTCTGAAGCTGGCTATGCAGATCCCAAACACTCCTCTCTCTGGCTTTTGCAGTTCAATTAAAAAAAAAAAAGTGCCAGTGATTGAATCCTGTCCTCTATGTGACAGCTGAAGCCCAAGGCAAACTATGGTGACAAATACTTTAATGGAAATCATAGAAATTGCATTTTGTGTGATGTTTGATGAGAAGTTGTCACTCAGAATTATCTTTGGTGAAGAACACAGTAAAAGGATTTCAGTGCAAATACAAATTAAAAGTAAAAAGAGCAAAGGCAGTGGCAATGTGACAAAGAATTTGAGAGCTGCTTCCAAAGCTGCTGCAGCTCTGGCCTAATCTTTAAAGTAACTGTACATAAAAAAAAAGGAAAGAGAAAATTAGATCATTAATAGGGGTGGCAAGGCAATAGATTTGTGCATTTATTTTGCACAGAAACAACATAAACAAGAGCTGCATGAAATAGATAAGCAGGCTGCCACAAAGCTGCTCTCAGCCAGTTGGGCCAATAATTTGTGTGTTGTGGCCCACATGAAGATGAAAGCAACTTTTAGAAACACTACATATATATATAATGGACTGTAGTATTTGGTGTCACATATACACACATGCACACACACATCCATGACTTATTACTGCATTTGTAATTATGGCTGACCACCAGATGTTGACACATCCTCCTTCAGCTGTCAGTATTTCATCCTTGTAAAAAAGATGCCAAATGGAGTTGTTCTCTGTGATCATGCGTTTTGGGCATTAAATCTCCAGGATGCAGAATTAATGGGATTGTTCCTGTTTTGTTTCTGTCTGCAGACTGTGTAGTGGCTGGAGGGGCTATGAGTTGATGCCTAGAACTGCCTTAGTAGAGACAAGAAGAAACCAAGCCAATTTTCACTTTGTTGTCACGCCAACATGGCCAGGACATCCAATTCCATCAGGCCTTTGCTGCTGGGGTGGCTGATAGAAATGGGCCCTAAGTCCTTCAGCTGAGGCAGCTTATTCCCTTATCTGCTAATGGCTCTGATAAGGGATTGGAGGAAAAGGTGTCAGAATAGCTGTCATATGACCCTCTGCCAAAGACCCTGATTAATCTTGCTAAGGAACAAGCTAGAGATATTACAGATGCTGTACTAACACTAATATTGTTTGTATATTTGCTACAACTGGAGGATTTATTATTTATTATCTACTAACTGTCAACAATACTTAAACATCTTCTTGGGGAGTGTAACTAACCCATCTGACACAACATGAGGTAACAATCTGGCTTCATGGATGAGTTCAGATCTCTCTTTTCTTTTCTTTTCCAACTCACCAGGAGCTTTGTAGAAGCCAATGTTGTCCTCACTTAGAGGTAGCAGGTAGACTTCGCCTTCTTTCCACAGCAGGGGGTACTCCTGCCCCCCGAAGAACTCTCCCACCCAGCCATCCTGATCTGGAGAGTTGAAGAAAAAAAACACTTCAACACACAAATCATTGCTATTCTCCATCAGGATGTAGTATATGGTAAATGTTGGTGTCCGCAAAAAGTTTAATGTGTGTGTTCCTACACGGATGTGTCCAGATTGTGTTGCATTGCTTTTATTAATTGTGATTTATTTGTTAATTGGTAGCTTTCTTTGCCAGATCAACAGAGAAAAACTACTTTGAGAGCTCACCACACTGCAAACTAAGGAAAATATACAAAAATATGCAACCAAATACAGAAATGTAGTGTGAATACAGACAACACGACAACATTCAAAAATACAACCTAGTACAGAAATGATGAGTTCTACACAATATCTAGCAAAATATAGTTTTCAGGCAACATTAAAAACTGATGAACATGCCCAGTGATGGAAGTAGTCATGGTTGTAGCTCAACATGAAACAGATCAGAATCAGAATCAGTCTGATTTCTGTTTTTAGCCATATTGTCTTTGGTGGCAGAATATTTTGTTACATTAAGTATTTTTTGTTAAATTGGAAATTTTTTTGGTCATTTTCGTGGCTGTGGCTCAGGAGGTAGAGTGCTGTTCGATTCTCATTCTCCCCAGTCCACATGTCTAAGTGTCCTTAGGCAAGACACCGAACCCCAAGGTGCTCCGTGTGGCCAGAGCAGCGCCTTGCAGGCACAGGGTCACCATCGGTGTGGAGATGGCTGCCTTGGTTTTGTACTGGAGAGAGATTCCTTGTGTGTGGAACATATTGGCCATTAAAAGTGGTTATCACTGTCATTTGTTTGCAGTGATTTTTCTAAATGCTGCAATGCTCTTGTCAAATAGGGTTAGAATATTCATGACACAGGTGTCCCTGAGCAGATGTTTACAGAGTTCCCTAAAAAGAGTAAAACTGCATATCCAGTGCATATCTAGTTAACTCCTACAAGAAATACAGTAACAAATACAGTATAAATCACCAACAAAGATTAAACTGGACAACAGTTAAGGAAAATGAAGAAGCTGAGAATTAGCTTGGGGTGTCTGGGAAAATACCTTCAGTGAAGTCAGAAGTGATGTTGACAGCAGCATAGTGTGTGGACGAGGAGCAGACCAGAGAGTGGCCGAAGCAGAAACATGGTTGGCAGCCTGCTGGGTTTACTTGTTGTAAGTTGAAAAAGCCTGGCTTGCATCTGTGGGTGTACACACATACACACACTTATGCATAAAAAGTTATTAACATGCAGATGATGCACACACGCTTCACTGCAGCTATTTATCACATCCTTGTTCTGCTGTTGTTCCTACTAATCTCTTTAAGTTTCCTCACTGCTGGGCATTGCAGACTGCAGTGTTAAGGAAGGGGGGACCAGTTGGAGCTCAGCTGCAAAGACCTAAGCTCTCACCTACAGACACTATCTGGCATCTGGGCGGGACAGGAGCACTGCTAAAGACTGGCCACTACACTAGTCATATTACACAGGAGAGGGGCCTGTTCAACGAGCTGTGAAATCAGCTAGAAAGTCAACAAACAGTGAGCACAGAATTATTCAGTAGTGGGAGACCTACAGCAGTGTGCACTGCTAATGCCACGCAGTTTGTGTTTGATCCTGCATCCCAGAGGAACAAGATAGAAACAAACATGGAGATGGCTAGTCCCACAACAGAGTCATTTTTAACTCTGTTCTGCTGCACCTTTGGGATTTGCTGGGTGTAATCTGTAAACTTTAGATTTTACAACAGATTATTATTATTATAGAAATTATTACTATTACATCAGATATGACCAACATGGGCAGAGAAGTAATGGCTTCACTTGTTGCCTTGATAACCACAGGTCATGTGCACAGATACACTATGAAACGTAAGCAAAAAACTTATAACACACCTGTCACAGCTCCGTCCCTCCATATTTAGCTTACAGCGGCAATGTCCATCCAGAGGAGAGCAGTGGTCCACACTCCCTCTGGGGTCACAATTGCACGACCTGCAGACAAAAGAGGATGTGAAGGTGGAAGATTTAAAACTATTGCGCTTAATAGACATGTGGAACAAAACATGTTTCTGAGAGAGAAGAAGGAGAGATCTTAAGGACAAGTGATAACTGGATATTATTATTCACTCGCCACCTCAAGCTCACAGCTAGTCAGCTACACAACAGCAACTCTGGAACCAGTGGGGTGTCTTGCTCAAGGATACAGTAACAACATGGATGCTTGCCTTGAGGCTTGAACCTGGACCTCCCAGATAACTAGTCGACCTTGTCAGTGTGTTTTTGATATCACTACACTCACTCAAAAAGTGTTCTTGTAACAGATTGACACCAAGATGCTTGACTCACACATGGGCCATCATATAAAATTTAAAGGCTGTGTAAACAACCTTGATAATACCAAGCGAGTAGGTGTATGGGTCAGCAGTAACTTGGATTATGACAATCTGTTTGATCACTTCCACTGATTGATTACTTCTGTTTGAAAATGTAACAGAGAATCAATTTTTAATGAGGTGCTATTACAAATAATTCAATTATTCCAAGGCAATCTGCCTCTGCTTGTTTCCGCTCCAGTGGTCTGGGTAATTCGCACCCTCACTCAACAGCTTGATTCTGCTGCAAGAATGAGAGAATGTTGTGTGTGTTTGTGTGCGCGTTGGCATGTGCATCTCTTTCTTTTAAATATCTTTCATATATCAATATTAAAAAAGGAAATTTATGACGGCCAAATAGACTTGTAATCATGTTATGACTCAGTTTAAACCTGCATTAACTCATTTTTTCATCCACTTGGGGCCAAATATTAGCAAAGAGCTGCTTATTTGAACATCGTTAAAATACAGAGCAAAATTAGCATTTGTATAGAGTCATGTTCCTAAATGGTAGTTCAATATTCACTCTCCTTTTAACTGTAGTTTAGCTTCCACCAACTCCCTAAGAAAATATTTGTCTCTTTCGTAGCTAAATTCTCTACTGCATCCACCAGCTACCTGTTAATATTGTCTGTCTGCTGTGTGGTGTATGGGGAGGTGATTTTATAAATGCCGTTTGCTAGAAACTGCTGCCTGCTGCAGGTGGAATCAAGACAGATGACAGTGATGAGACAGAACCTAAACAGTAGAGTTGCAGGCTGTGAAATCAAAGCATTTAGCAGAGCGATGCTACAAAGGACCGTAGACCCGAGGTGAGCAGCAGAGTCGGGTAATTCTCTGTGGGTTCATCATTATGAATGCCTTTCACATTACATGCAGTAATGTGATCCATTGTTCATATAAAAGGATTTATTATAGTGTAGCCTCTTTAAAGTCACAAGAATAAATATCCGAACCTTTTATCTATAGTGTTTAACGGTCAGTCCTCCGACTGTTGTCGCAGTCAGGCAGTGGAAGTAATTTTAGCACAAAACAGTCATTGATATGCGATTCAGCATCATGACAACTTAGCATTCCCTCTGCAGGAAGACAGGGTCAGGGAATGTTGTGATAGACTTGTTTTGAATTTAAATACTACAACATACTTATGTGCACGTACACCCACTTGCCCTACTGTATATATTCAGATAGAGGCTAATGTGCACAAATACTAAGTAGGAGTGCTCTCAGGTCAGAAGAAGTTGGAAATTGCTTTTCATGTATGCAGCAACTCAGTGGATCTCCAAGCTGCAAATGAAAATGCAGAAAAACATCTGGCTTTTTTTTTTAATTAATAGAAAGAATTGTAATCAGCCATCAAGCTGACAATTGTGATCTTTTTAAAATGAGTGAGTCGTTTGTCTCAAATGAAACAATAAGATCTTTATAAATACTGTATATGCAGACAATTATCAGCTATACAATGAGATAAATGAAATGTCATTAAAAGAGATTATGGGGGTTTGGGTCAATGAAACCAAATTGTTGTAAGATGGGAACAATGCTATGCAAAAGGAGACTACACTAACCACAAATATAAAGCATTATGGCATTAGTGCATGCATTCAACTATTTGTGGAGAAAAGCTGAGATGTTTTTAAGGCTAAGTTTCTTCTTAAGTTTGGCTAGAGCTAAAGCTGCTTTCTGAAATCTCTGACAGCAGCAAAGGTGGATCAAGTCGCCATGGTAACAGGAGGAGGAGACTGCATAGTCTCTGGCTTGGTTCTCTAGGATCCTCAAACCAGATCTTTGTCTGTTTTTAGTCAGGATGGCTGGCTGATCGACCAAGACACTGACCATGTGCAGCAGGAGGGACTTCATGGCAGAAGTCGGAGCTGTGGCTATTCGAAAACTGACAGCAGCAGTCCAGTCTCTGTTTTAGATGAGCATAGCATGGAGCAGTTTTGATTTACTTAATCAATCACAATGTTATAAACCCAAACTATTGTGGTAATGGAAAAGTTCAGGCCAAACCTCTAAGACATAAAGCGCAAGTATAAATAAACACTGGTTTGATGGAAAAACAGCTTGTGTTGTGAGCGAATCCAGTAGTCACTAACTTTGTCGGTCCACTGTTTGGTGTTGGGCAGGTATTGTATGAAGTCTTTGTTTGTTTGTTTGTTTGTGCTGAGAACAGTTGCTTCCTGCAGCTGAAAAGTGAGAACAGCAAGACTGCGCCAAAGCAATAAATTGTCAGGGCACCAGGCTTTTTATCACGTGAGCTACACGGTAAACAATAAAAAAAATTATTAATCCAGTCTCAGCTGGAAGTAATGAATTCTCAAGACAGTGACTGCCTTACTGTAATAAAAGATGACATGGGAAAGCCAGTTCTGTAATCTAAATGGGTTTATTTAGATGTTTGCAAAAAGAGGAAAAGGAAAGTGGGACTGTAAAATGGATGAGATGGTACTGTATATAATGAAACAAAGAGATGGCTGAATGGAAACCAAAAATTGTTATTAAAACCAAAAGAAGCAAAGGAAGAGCACAGGCATATTAGACACGAAATGGCATAAATTAAACAAATGAAATGACCTGTCCTGACTGTCATTTGAATAATTGTTGAAATCTTGATGTTGATTTATCCCCAGCTCGTGTTTCCATGTGGAACATTTCAGGACTGCTGTTAGCAGTTTGATACTGTATTTGGCACATCCTGGTACTGGCTGATAAGAAGGTCACTAATTCACAGTGGTGTCACATAGAGAAATGAAAATCCTCTTGTTTACAGCTGCTTTGTTGTTTGATAAATTTAGGCTCAGGGGAATTAGAAACTGCAAAACAGACAAGATTTATTAAACAAGTCTGTGCACTTTAGTCTAGTTCCAGTTGTTGCTTATGTCTTTTAACCAATTTTTTTCTTTTAAAGTCTTATTTCTTTACCACTTCCTTTTTTAATACATTATCCCTCACAACTTGCTTTATTTTTGTGTGTCTTGTGTTAATATGTCTGTCTGTGTTTATGCCTATGCGTGTTCCTCACCTGCAGCCACCAGGGCCAATCGAGTGAAAGCCAGCCTGACATGTGTCACACTTGCCCCCTGTCACACCAGCTCGGCACGCACACCTTCCTTCCACATCACACTGCAGACTCACTGAGCCTAGGAGGGATGACAGATGTATCATTGTGCAGGAAGAAAAAAACAAAAGAGAATGTAAAGTGTAGACAGAAATCGAGGACAAAAGGGAAAAGGCACTCGGTGAAAAGAAAGGTTATCGGTAAATTGCATGAAATGTCTAGTCGATAATTTGTCATTATTGAATTCCTGTTCAAAAACCTTAGAATGAGTTGGGAAGAGCAGAATATAACTTTGCAACCACAGCAAGTGACATACTGTAGCTTTTCTGAAGTGAAAAGACCAGCTGATGCACTGTGGACATGAGAGAAAAGAGAAGTCTGCTTATAACCTTTGATCAATATAATGGACTCCAAGAGCTTTGTGCAAACACCTTACGCTACTTAGGGGAAACAGAGGAAAAGACAGCTGACATACTTGTTCATTTCTCCCAGTAGTTCTCTCTCTTTACCCTAATGATGGTACAATTAGGAGCAGAAACATTTAATGTCCCTTCGCCTAAAATTAAACTGTGTTTAATGAGCACTGAGTCTCATTGATAATGTCAAGTGAGTCAGCTGGATCAATTTACAACAGCAGGGGTGAGTAAAGTCATGGATTTCTTTAACGGTCATTTGGGAAGCAAAGCTGAGGATAAATCTGATGAGGTGAGCAAGACTATTAATTATGAATCAGAAAAGATTCTACTCCTAGGCAAGGACTGGCAGTTGAGTAGTCAGTGGGTTGGAGTAACTATTAATGCATGTTATTAATGATTTAAAAAACATTTGGCCATAAAATTTACAACAGTTAATCCTTTGAGTCATTTAACAAAATCTTGCTTTCCGTGCCTTATTGTGCCAATGCAGCATTCCACTTGAACCATAATTAAATTTGCTTATACCAGGGAAAACAAAACTAGCAAGTAATTATATTGGCTTGGATTATAATTAGGGTTGTTAAGTTATTATCCAAACAATTAAGGGTTTTGTCTTTGTAGTTTACCATTGATGTTACAGTTGCAGGGCAGGCAGGGCTCTTTAGGAGAGCTCCTGTAGTGATTCTCTTTGCAGCGTTCACAATGGGGCCCATCGGTGTTGTCTCTGCAGCTCAGACATCGCCCCCCACTGCCAGTGCTGCGGTACTGCTCCATGTCGAACACGCACTCGTCTGATCTCCCACTAGAGCAGCCACAGGAGAGGAAGTACGCAGAAGAGGCAACAAGGTAAAAAGACAGAAGGTCGAGATAGAGGAAGGGGAGAAACAGAGGGAGGGAATATGTGTGAGAGATTACATGTTCTGGGATTGGATCATAATTTAGAGGTCCAATCAGCTGTCAGGGGGCACTTAGATAACAATAATTTATGTTTATACAAGAGCAAATTACTGAGCGGATAACACACCCTCAGGGCTCTGATACCACTCACATCAAAACCCTCCTCAGTTTACACTGAGGGGGCTTTAGGTGGAATTACCCATTTTATAATAAATCAAGCTTTATGTTGTGCTGGTAATAACTATATTATTATTATTCCTTTCTGGTAATAAGAAGACTCAGTAATATTCACCTTATTTTAAAGGTGAAAAATAAACATATTGCTTTAAGATATGGTACAAACTCCAGACTAGGGATGAAAAATTAAAAGATTTGATATAGAATTCTATGTTTCACTTTGCCCTAACTGATGTTGTATAATGGAAATTTGTATATGTAAATAAAGGTCCAAACTAAAATCTGCATTAGATTCCCTTCATGTATACAGTATATATAAAAAAAATCATTGATTTTTTGATATTTATTTGGAGACAAATCTGCATTAATCAGCTTGAGTTGTTAAATAATCTGTATGATCACCACATAGCTAGCCAGCTAACTTTTCCTGCCTGTTAAAATTCTGTAATAACAAACATGATGCTCTGTTAATAATATATTTTTCTGGGTCATCGTATTTATTGTTGCCGAGCTCGATTTTATTCTGGCTTTGTGAGTTTGGTGAACAGCCTGGTCCAGGACTATTGGTTGGAGCAGTGGCTGGAGGTCTGGTGAGAAAGTTCAGTTCTACAAAGAAAAGGGAAATATCTCCAGGCAATAAGAAATGTGTCTCCTAGTAACTCCAAAGTTGTCCAGATTTCATGTCTGCAGTGAGCCAAGCATAGTGTTTTTTCAGAGTTGTATGGTGTGTGACCCATGTCTCTACTGTAGAGTGAAGATGGGACTTGTTGCACTAAACCTCTGGCTGATTTGCTTGTCCAGTCACAATGTCTCATTTTCTACTGGTACATGCGCTAAATACAGAAAATGAAATGTATATAATTAGTAATGTAACATTTTTTCTGTTGAGTTAAGTTGAAGCAATGCACTTAGTTTTAATATGAGCAATAATTCATTAGATTTTCAACAGGCTTCTGCACCTGTATACATTTATCAGAGCTTTTTCTCTGAAAATCGCTGTCTGTTGTTTCAGAGATGACAGATAAACACAGACCGAGAGACTGAACCAAAACAGTAAAGTTATGGGCTGGAAAACTAAAAAAAAAAATTGGTTGAAAGCTGCATTGAGCTGGAGAGTAGAGCAATATATCTCTCCTTTCGCATGACACAGTCATATAAAATTATCAATAAGTGTAGCTTTAAGCATCCAGCCTGGAATTGTTTGATGAAAGGAATGAGAAGACGCTGCAGGAACAAGCAGCCTTTGCACTGCTAGAAGCGGCCTTTTGAACACAACATGCATCTTTAGACATATCTGAGTCCCTTTTTATCACATCTGCAAACCGTCTCTCTCATGGGGCCACAGAATCGGACAAAATCTAACACTCTATATACAGATAGGAAGACCCTGAAGCATGACTTAGGGCAAACAGAGCACAAATACAGCCAGTCGGCTCCACCTGTCAGCCCCCATCCACTCTGTTGCGCCAACTAGCGGTGCTGCCACTGCCGGTCAGGCTTGTTTATAACCAGGTGACAGCACTGCCAGCTTGTGCCTATGTGGCATTCCCTTTTGTGGTACAAATCCAAGATGACTCTGACCACGCTTAACAAAATATGTATAATAACAATAATAATAATGTGTAATTTGTGATGATTCCCTATTATACTGAGGGAACATATAGTATGAGAGGCCAGTTAATTATCTCAAAATTATGTTTAGTCATGTAACTTCAGGTCTAGCAATATGTGATAACGAAAGCGACTATGTATGAAATGAAGTGAGGAAAAGAGGTTTTTAATTATTGTTTTTCATCCTGAAATGATCGAGCTTCAAAGTGAACATCTGGCTCTCATCCCTCTCAGCAAGGTATATTTGCTCATGCTTTAATGACTTCCTGCTCCTGTTTCAGTACCTGTTTTTATTGGGCATTTATTAAATACTTTATTGTGGTTGTCTGCACTGAAAATTAACTATGCGAGTACAGTTATTTTGGATAAACCCCAACTATGCTTAACATGAATATTTTTTAAACATCATGTATTAACAGCCTTAGATACTGATGCTATGTTTTGTGTCAACCATTAAACATGATATAAACATTTTAAAATGCTGCAGCAGGTTTTCCTCCTCAGTAACTGAACAATGAGTGTAGCAGAAACGTTTAAAGGTGGTGTATGTGGGATGAATTTTGCTACAAGCAGTGTACACACGGTATAACAGAGAAAATCAATTAAAGGTGTTCTTCGACTGGTTTAACACAAAGACCTTTACAAAGCTTTCCACAGCCTGCATTTGGCCACCTTGACCACATTTATAGCTCTGCCTGCCAACAACCACCTCTTCCACATGCTGCTTTCCTCAATCCTGTCCTGGGGACAGAGCATATGAGCGGAGTGGTGCGGTGAGAATTTCCGCTACTCACTCAGGGAGCTGTTCGCCTGTTCTGCTGCCCCGCTCAAAGCAGCACCAGGCCATGCCGCTCATTATCTCCCAGCACTCAATTCACATTGAATCCCATTCCACTCAAATTGCACCCACTCACTTTAAAAAGGGGAAATATCTGCATGTATTTAGCTTAAATCGTAGCTTTATATCCCAAAGAACAATTTCTATTTGGAAAAATGTAGGCGTTTTTTATTTCAAATTAAAGTTAACCCTATGTAACAAGGAATATAACACTGAAAGCCATATGTAAAATTCAACAAATCAATGGGCCTAATTAAATAAAAATGCAGTACATCTCTGACTTTTCAGTTTCCTTTTTAAAGTACTTTAGGAACTCTTATTGAGCACATAACTGATTTTTTTTTTACTGAACAATATAAAATATAAATTTTGAAAGGGTCTGAACTTGGTATTTTACAGTAATATTGGAGGTTGACAATGTTAAGCTAACAATACAAGATTAGATTGTTTAAAGTCCAGTCCTCTGTGAGTTTAACAGTGTATAATTGAACGTATGTTTTAAGTCACAATTACTGTAACTACAACATGTCTACTAATCATAAATTAAATAGTAAAATTGTGGCACAGCGCTTACAGTGGGCTGTCCATTGATTAGAATGTTGGTGGCACTTTTGATGAAAGGGTGAATGAGAAGCAAAGTGCTTTGCTAGCTAAGGTTAAAAAGCACAGTACATTTACCATTGCCCTTACAGTACATCCCCAGACATCTGGTACTGACACCTTGTGACCTGCAGGTAGCTGAGTTCACACACAACAGACTCCACTACATGAAGTACAATTGCACTGTGGTTTATGTGGACTCAGTCATGTGACAGGTGAGGTGAAAAAGACTCAACTACTTTCAGTGTATTTCACAACCCTCTGTGCATCCAAATATGTGGGATTCTGAGCAACAGTATTGGAGTTTACAGAGAGATTAACCTGAGGAGTTAACAGGCATAAACTTAAATATCTCAGACCTGTGTATAAGTTCAGAGTGCAGAACTAGTTGTTAGCAATTAGTTGTCTTGTCAGCACAGTCAGGTGGTGACTGATGTGTCACAGTACAATGTATAAAGAATACAAGTTTGGTGACAGGTGCCAGAGGTGCGGACTGAATCCTTTGAAGGGAAAATGTATGCTTACAGTTTCTTGAAGAAAAACATGTGTGTGTGCAGTGTCTCTTTTTATGATTGTGTATGACTGATAAAAAATAACAACTCCTGTAATGACAGTTTCCTGTGAGTGAAGATTTGCCAAAGTGAGTTTCGCCTAATATAAGGTAACAAATCCAGCATATACTGTATGAAGTAACTTTATTTCTGCTTTATTTCTAAATTCTAAAAAACTGTCCAAGTTTTTATGACATTGCGGCAATTAGTTTTCTATCCAACAGCTGCTTGACTGTTTGTAAATGGGAAAACTGTCTGTTTATGACTGTCGGCCGCAATGCGAAGAATTTGGGGTTTAGTAGTGCATCAAATGTTTTCTGTGTTGTCCTAAATTGCAAACTAGAATATGAACAAAACAAACAAACAAACAAAAAAAAAAACTGAGGAGGAGATTAAACTGAGTTTAGGCTTAAATCTACTTCTATATCCATCTAAATCTGTTTGAGGTATAGATAATAAGAATCTGATATAGCTACATTATTATGAACTATACAATTGATATTCAAGAGAATGATCGGTCTCCTGGCTGCAACTGTAGCCTTCAACCTTAAATTAGTGGCAAGAAAAGATTTGAAGTGTCTACCTACAGGAACAGCCTCAGGCTGAGCCGATGACAACATCAAACAGACAAGAAAAACCATGAAGAGACGCAGCAA